AATATCACTGAGATGAGGGGTGGCAGTGCATTTGCTGTGATACCAGCTATCCTTCATTTTCCTTCCCTTCACTTAAAGCCAGGCCACCATATAGGAAAGAACTAGCTTTTTGCACAGTGCACTTACATCTTATTCCTTCTGCATGCTGCTTCCCCATTTTCTCCCCGGTTACGTATATGCATTTGAAGAAGAAAAAGCTTACTGGCCTTTATGGTATTACACATATTTTGACCATACGTAATGTATCATCGCAGAGGCATGCTTGCACATTCGGTATGGTTACTTCCATTTCACTCCGTCTGCACACACACAAACACCCAGGCACAAATGCAGACTGTTTCAGGTGAGTGGTCACCATGCAGTGAGACTAGATGGAGGCCAATTGTCTGTAGGGCCAAATTCTGCCTCTCAAGCAAGTTCTAGTTTTCTAGATGCAGCCATAGGATGGAGATTATGCACGTTGAAAAGCTACCTCACAGGATTGCTTAAATTCCCCCCTGCCCCATTCCTCCTTATCTAGCAGCTTTCGTTTGTGAGGGACGGAAAGTTCAGGTCTCTTGTCTATGTTCATATGTTCAGTTTTTATATAAACTGCCAGGATAGTCTCTGAAACCACAGTCATGATACATCTCTGTGTGTCACATATCCAATTTGTGACCAGCTTCTTCCAGTACCTGGCAGAGAGCAGGACTTAAATGAAATCCAGTTGACTGGAGTTCAGCTAAAATCTGATAGAGGTGATTTGATAGATCAAATGGTTGAAGAACTTGGTGGAGTCAGTGCAGATATAATCTGTTCAGCCACTTTTAAATCAGTCCACAGTCTTCAAGTCTTGATCATCTTTGCCACTGTTGCAGTAGTCAGGAACAAAAGGTTTTTTTGCCATTGCCTAGGCAAGAGATTGCCTGGGGTGAAAGCAGTCACAGACCTTGCCTCAGTTATCCATGCTTGCGGTCAGTTCTGTCTTCAGCTGTTGCAGTGGTCTGTGCGTGCAGGCTTTAGTTCAAAATCACTGGGAACAGTTTAGCTGGAAAGACTCAGTTACCAGCCTCTACTGTCTTTCCATTCTCCTACCTCTCTTCATCTGTCACCTCTCCAACATAATATTTTTATTTCAGTATTTGTTATTATACGAGGTTGCATGCCGCATTCAGCTGCAGCAGCAGTAACCTCCAGAGTAGAAGGAATGGTCGGCAGAGTCTGGCACCTGCTTCAGCTAATTCCTCCTGTGCATCTCAAAGGTTAGCGGCAGAATTTCTCATCTTAATGTATAGTGGAATGAAACGGAAAGAGCATCCTGCTTTTGCATCCCCTTGTCTTTAATCAAATGCCTGTTAAATGGTTGTTGAAATTCAGAGTGTAACTCTCTACAAAAGTCTGTAGCTCAAATCATAATGATCTAGAAATAAATAATCAATAGATAGCCTCCAGAATGCAGAAAGCTATTGTTCCACAAGTTAAACACACATTTTTGAAACCTCTTCAGAAAATATGTGTAAAGCCTGGCATTCCCACCTAAATACATTCTAATGACCTAGGAGGTCATTAGAAAATACTTAGTTTTGTAGCTCATTGCATCAGCTATGCAAATACCTATACTGAATGTAAGGCTCAAATGTTAAGTAAGTGTTTCAGAAATAGAGCATTTCAGGCCTCGTATGAACCCACAATATTGTCTTTGGATTTTTTTAAAATGCTTACTAATAAGAGCACCGAGGTCATTACTATCATCTGAGAAGTAACCAGCACTTTACCCTCCTTAAATGAACCCTGTAATAAACTGTACCTTTATTGAAAGTGGATTTTTTTTTATTAAAATGCCTACCTGTTGTATTTGCAGCATAAATAATTTGTTTGAATCATCAGGTGAGTGCTGTTAAGTTATAGTGAGCGAGGAAAATTGCAAAAACACAAATTAGGGTCCCTGTCCTTAAGTGTATTTCAGTTTGCATTTTGATAGCAGTTTAGAAATGTTATCGCCTGTTTTGTCACAGACATAATTCACATCTTTCTTCAGGCACTGTAAACAAGAGAAATGGTTTAATGGCTCCATAAAAGGCACTCTGTGCTGATAGCTGAGATTAGACCCTTTAGTAATGGATTTTTGTGTGTTGGGGGAAGGGGAGGGCTTGGCAGAGGTAAATGTACTGGAAAAGAATCTTGGAGAGACTGATGTATCTGAAGTGCCTGCTGCATTTCTGTGTGTATTGGGAGATAGATTTAAAGTGTGACAGTGTTGGCTTTATCAGTGCAGGGGCCTTTTCTTGCTTTTGAAATTTTACCAAGTACTACTTGGGTCACCTCAATCAGGCTAGCACCTGGAGTTTTAGTGGTATTAATGTAAATGTTTTTACATCTTTTCTGTCTTTTCATCTTGCTGTTAAGAAAATCAAATCACCTCTATTTAAATGTGTTCAAGAAATCTGTCTAAACTAACATTGCCCATTAACAGTTTTGCCTCAGTAGATCATAAAAATGAGATAGTTTATTTACTATATCAGGTTTAGAGAGTGATTTGAGAGCATAAATGTGAAAAGCAGTTCAGAACCATGGAGCAGAAATGTTCTGGCCATGACTTACTAGGACTTGCTTTTACTTTCTTTTCTCTCAGATACATAAAGTCCTTGAACTTAATACATGTAAATGTAGTATCACTTATCAGACATCAGAGTTTACTAGCACAAGTAATGTTGCTGCTGTCAGTTGATTTTTACCATATAATAAATGCTCTGGCCTTAGAAGTGTTGATAAAAACACATCTTTGTCTCTTTGATCAGTGGAGTCAAAATTGCCTGCCATTAGTCAGTAACACTGAATTTTCAGTAATATTTCATGCCTTTTAAAAATGTGCTTAAATTAATTCTTCTTCAGAAAATAGAATCAGATTTTATTTTGTCTTGTAGGCAGGAATCTGAAGTTTGAAAATTATAACTTTTTGCTAAAGCAGAAATTATTTCCAGTTTCATGTAAAATATTCTTTGTTTCTTCTTCATATTGAACAATCGTTTCTTGAATTGAAAAATGTTTTAAACTATTGCTTTTGTATTTGATGCAGTGCATTTCTGGGGCTTTCTCAAAAGAAGTAGTTCAGTTCTACCTGTTTCTCAGGCTAGAAAATATACAAAACAGTCCCCTCTGAAACAAAATGATTCCTCCTTTAAATTCAGAGTTCTTAATAAAATGGATAAAATTGTTTAGGATTAGGCTGTTGACAGATAGCAAAGGAGAAGGGCACTTCAGAATGAGGGGTAGCAAGTTTCACTCTGTGTTTTTGCGTGTTCTGTGTGAGTTTGTCTTTGTGGGGACATCATTATTGTTTTGTATAAAATCTAGGTCTGTACAACAGCACTTTATGCATAACATGCAAGCCATCTTACTCTGCAGATACAGATACATTTACACACAGAGAATATGCATACAGTAAAGTATTATACCTTAATCAATTTGCTACAGATGGTAGCAGTCCTTCTGCTTGTCTTGTATCTGCATGTTGGCTTCGAAGAAGCTCCAGACAGGGTCTGCGGATTGAGTCCGTTCTGATACCGATAAGCCTGACTTTCCCCAGTAGCTGAGATGAGGTGTTGAAGCCATCCATCTAAATATACGTTGTAAGATTGTTTGTCTTTCAAGTTTGGAGGTAGTTATCTGTAAGTAATCACTCGGGATGAAATCTTGGCCTTTGGTCACTTCTTAATAAGATCGTTATTAAGGCAGAGTGCCCGTTACTTTAATAGGGTTGAGACTCTGTTCTGGGGTTAAGTTAAATGAATTTGCCATCAGGAAGAAAGAAGTGCTGGGGAGCTGGTTGTTTGAAATGTCATTTTGTTAATTTGGATGTGTTGGTAGCTTGGTATGCTGCACTAAAATTAGATTGTATAAATAAGCAACCTTGCTCTCCTCAAAATAAAACAGATTGAAAACAATATAAAATTGAGCTTAGCAAAACGGTGTATGTTTCAAATCTGTTTTAGTAGGTGCACTATGAGTGCCACACTAAAATGAAGAGTGATAGGTGGAGGGTTTCAGTGATGATACGAGAACCGTTTTGAATGTTTGAAATTTTAGTGTTGGAATAAGTCTGTCATCTTCAGCCACACTTAAGATGTGGTTTGAAAGGTCAAGTATCCTTCAAAAAAGCTCCCCCAAAATGCAGTAAGCATTTTTCTCAGGCTGGCTTTTTTCCTTTCTGCCTCTAAAAGTGTACACTCAAGGAGTTACAGATAAAGCTTAGTGTGGTGACTGCGTCAGGGGACTGCCTGAGGAAGGCTTTAAATTTTACAGCTACATTATCTTTCTGGCCCTAGTTAAGATAAAGATCTAATATAAAATCACTTTGGACTGTAATGCTTTCCCTAAATGAAACGAAGGTGTTAACCTACTTGATTTGATACACTTTACCCTAGCTTATAAAGCTGGAAGGAAGGTGAGGTAAACTTTAATTAAAACTACAGCACAGATGCCTTCTAGCACTGTGCCCTGTACCTTGCTAGGACTGTACAGTAAGCAAAATAAAATGTACCTCGCAGCCGAGGCAGCAGGCTGGAGCCGTGTTCAGTGAAAGTAATTTAATTAGTGTTGATCATGACTCCAGATGATGGTGATTTGATAAGGAATAATTTAGTACTTAACAGCCTTTTACATGCACCAACTCCATGTGGGAAGGTAAAGCAAATTGCACAAAATGAATGTGCTGCTTTCACTTGTGCCTGTGCCAGTGAGCTGGAAAACTGCCTGTTAGCAGACGTTCAGGCTCTCAGCGCTGTGATGAAATACCCAGCCAGTTCTCCACACAGGGCTGTGGTGTGGGAGTCTCTGTACTCCCGTTATTTAAAAATAAATAAGGGAAGTAATTTTTCATAACAGATTAACTCCGAGGAAGTAGCAAAGTTAAAATAAAAAAAAAAAAAAAAATTAAAAGATAGAGCAGCATGTGGCCTTTGTGCAATTATGTGATACTGTCTTTAAAAAAAGTCTTGTTGCAGTCATGTTTTAATTCTCTGATTGAAGTCAAAGAGATCACCTGCCTTTGTGTCGGACACACCATCCCGGCATTGTGAGGCCCATCATATGCATTAAATGTGCGGCATTTGTTATCTGACCAGGACATGCAAGGAGAGTCAGCAGCAAAAATTCACTAGCAAACACAAAATGAACGATGGGATGTCAGCCTGTTTTGCAGTTATGGTAGAAAGCTGACTGGGTTGCATTGTTAGATTTGAGAATCTTTATCAAAGAAGCCTGTATGGTCTTTTATTTTAGTGCAAATTCAGACAGTTTTACTCAGAAAAAGTTCTTTCCTTGTTGTGACGTTCACTGCTTTTCATCTGTTTCTTAAGTTACTGTGCTGTGCCGTGTGTATTTGTGTACCTGTTTTACTATGCTTTTCCTTTGTAGTCTTTCCAGGTAATTGACTATTATCCATCAAATATAATAGCTCAATAGCAGTCGTAGAGACAATTCTTGTGAGTTTTGTGAAAATATGTGGCTAATAACATAGTGCTATCTTGTGGATGTCTCAGCTGAAAGTCAATAGTAAAAGCTGTCATGTAATAGGATATGAGAGGACCCATTTGTGAAAATGTTTTCTGAATGTTGCCCAACCGTGGGAAAACCCATGGTGAGAATCTGGAATCTAGATCTTACTCACAGATACTTATAAATCAGAGTCTGTTGGTTCTGATGCTCGTTTCTTAGCATTTCATTTACCTTCCCCTCCCCATCAAACACATGTGTATGTATGCAGGTGCATAAGTATCAGAAAATAGTGTGTAACAAACTGTCTTCCCTAAGTTCAGATGCAAGGGAAGGGGCAAGATACTACTTGATGGTGTATAAGAATGTCCTATACAGGGACTGCGTGCACGTATGTGGATTTCCATGGAGGTGCAAGTGTCTGTGTCAGGCTAGAGCGAGATGTTCAAACTATGGTGTTGTGGTGACAGCATCAAAAATTGGTGATAAAAATGGAGTCATTCTTGTGGCATGCTTTGAAGTGAACTCCTATTGCATTTATAGCTAAAAGCTACTTCACTAATATTACTTAGAAACATTTGGTGCTTGGGAAGTATTTTGCCTCTGACAACATTTACAGTAGTTAAGCCAAATATAAGTGGGCTGTTATTTTCCTGCTAATGAGATGGGATCCTGGCCATCTTTCTATTAAACAATAAAAGTGCTAATAGCCAATGCAAAGGATCTCTGGTGTCTATTTTTCAGTTGACACCCAAAGAAATACTTGAAATGTTTATTTCCTGTATTGTTTTTAGTATTACAGTGGTTTAATTAATTATGTGTTTAATTAGCAGTGTCTAGCTTACTTGAGAAAGCTCATTGTTAATATTGTACTTGGGTTTTAATTACATGTTCTTTCACTTTCCAGTGGCTTTTCATGGTCTCCCTGTGAAAATCAAGAAGGAACCCCATAGCCCATGTTCGGAACTTGGCTCCACTTGCAGTCAAGAGCAACCATTCAAGTTCAGTTATGGGGAAAAGTGCCTGTACAATGTCAGGTAAAGCAGTCAGGAGCATGTTTACAGTGAGAACTGCTGAGTTAAATGAGGTCTGACTAAGGAGTAATAAAACCATAGTAGAGATCTTGTAAAAGTTACCTCTTCAGCAGATGACAGACTGATGAGATAATGCATTTAGCTGATGAACACTGATGGAGTTGCTTGCAATTGTATCAAACACATAACCATTTTAAAGCAGCATTTTTCATCAAAATGTGTATTCTCCATTCCTTCTCCATGGGAGATGGCGAGAGTTAAAAAACACAGGGTGCAAGCTTTAAATAGAAGGAAGGAGTGTCTTGTTTTCTGTGAGTTGGGTTGAAAGTACTTTCAAAATGCATTACGCACATTAGGAAAGAGAGAGATCTGTGTAATAGGCAGGAGATTGGCAGGTTTGAGCAACGCATTAGGTATTTGACAAATTTTGCAGATGTTATCTGTGTGTGTTTGTGAGTGATTACTATTTAAAATAGTATTTCATTAGGCTTTCCATCTTTGTTACCTATTCAAAAGCAAGTTGTCTTCTTTTATAGGCATAGATAATAAAGGCTTTATTTATTTGTGGGTGGTGGAGGGGCTTGATATCTCAGCATTCTTTATTGGCTTTCTTCTGGTTTGCACTTACATGTCACTCCTTCCTTTAGTGTCAGCAGTGAAGGGTTTCTTATTGGCATTTCAGTCTGTTTTAGAATCTTTCATCTAGCTTGTGAGTTTTTAGTCTCATTAAAGTAGTACTAAAACTGTTAGCACTTAAAGCATTTACATTTAACTTTTTGGCTATAAAAGGAGTTTAAAAAAAGGCTGGTCACAAAGAAGTAATTTTGATTTCAAAAATTAAAATACATACATTGATAGATATGATGGGTATAGGGTATATGACATAGGCAAGTATGCAAATTTGTGTGAAGTGTCTGCCTAAAAGATCTGCATTTTTCCTGTTTAAAAGGAGGGATGATCTAAGTGTGCTCAGGTCCTTTCCTAATTCAGGACACCTCTGAAAATAGCATCTATATATTTGTAGGACCATTGCTTTATTTCTCTTTGCGAGGCGGGGAGGAGGGATCCTGTCAGGAGAGGCTGCTGTCATCCTAGTGTTGGTAGCTAAGCCAACATACCATTGTTATCCCTTCCCTATAGCTGTATTGTTTTACTGTCTCACTTTGTGGTTTGTGTGAGCTCTAAAAAAGAGTCTTGACAGACACTTCTGGCTCTTCATGCTCTAGTCCAGGTGCTTCTACTTTTATGTATTTTGTATGCCTCCTGTTAGAATGTCACTGTAAGACTGAATCCTTTAAAAATACATATCTGTGCCCTAGAGAAGAAAATGCTGCATAGAACCACTTGCCTCTAGCATTTTTTCTGTGCTTATAGTACTGTAAAATAGAGAATTCTTCTGCCCCAGACTGATAAATGAAAAGCTTATAAATATGTTTGTTTTTTTCTCATTATAGATAATACTTTTTCTTTTTTCTTTTTTCCATCAGAGAAAATAACCTGACCATTTTTCCCCTTGTCTTACTGATAGTGCCTATGATCAGAAGCCACAAGTGGGAATGAGGCCCTCCAACCCACCGACGCCATCCAGCACTCCTGTGTCACCACTGCACCATGCCTCCCCAAACTCAGCTCAGACTCCTAAACCTGACCGGGTTTTTGCTACCCATCTCCCTCCATCCCAGTCCATTCAAGAAAACAGCTTCCCTATGGACCACAGGTAAAACACAAAGCACGTGAAGAACCCGTATAGAAAGTGTTTCAATTGTGGATGCAAGTCTCTTATATAGGGTAGCACTGGCTTCCTGCCCACAGCTGTTCCCTTTTGGTTTGGGGGATCAAGGTGAAAACCAGCAAGGTTCAGATTGTCAGAAATACGTGTGTTTTACGGAAGGCTGGCACCCGGCTTAGTGCACTTAAGGAGTTCATATTGGCAGTGGCAGTGTTTTAATGACCTGCTGCTTTTGTCTGGTGAGGGTGATTACAGGGTGCTAGATAATCTCATCTAGGCTCCCTTTCCCATGAAAGATTGGGCCAGATGGCCTTTCAAGGTCCCTTCCAACCTGGGTTAGTCTATGATTCTGTGATTCAGTTGAGACTACTAAGCCCTACGAGGTAACGAAGTTACTAGCAGACATGATCCTGGCTATAAATATCTGGCCTCTTGCTAAGCAATTCACATATCTAAGAGATAAGTGTCCATGTTACCTTACTGCTTCAGAATATTCTCTGGAAGGGTGGATCATTTTTCCAACCCCTTTTGAAATGTAGCATTTCAGACAAACTAAGATGCCAGCATAAACTGTGCTTAAATAACATTAGTCTGAGTAAAAGCCACAAGAGCTAGAGACTAGAATTAAAGTTTAAACTGTCCTTAAGTCACCCTGTTTTGTTTTGATATGTTAGAAATCCCCAGACAACTGGCTGTCTGTCTTAGCTCAGTTGTGCAACAGGTAGCTCAGTGGATTTCCCTGATTTTTGAGACCAAGCACTTGTTTGTGGAATTCTGTTTATCCTCACTTTTATCACATTAACCTGTTTTGTCAGCTGTGTTGCATGATTGCTCTGAGCATGTAAAATTTTAGCTGTATGTAAAGAGATATATATGTTCAGAAACTGGGCTTAGCTCTTGAACATCAGCAGATTAAGAAGCACCTGAAAAGAGAACCACAGTTGCTGGGAGTGCAATTTGCAAGCTTCTGCTCTAATAAGGGCTGTTATTTCCAGGAGTTTGTGCAGATCACTTCTGAAGGGGGTTCCTAAGGCTTATGTTGCTGTTTTGTGCTCTGCTAAGATAGTTTTAAATACCACTCAAGGTTTTCTACAAGCCATTCTGGCAGTGAAGAAACACTGAATCGTCCCCTTCAGCTGCAATAGTCACCATCTTTCCCCTCTCTCCCTCTTCACTGTGGACTGTGGTCTAACCACGCAGGCCCCCAGTTGAAGCCAGGCAGTTGTTTTGATTATAGGATGGTGGATAAATGTGTTTCTGTACATACACCAAAGCCAAGTTGTCAGGAGACTGATATCTCCAGAAGCTAAATGGCTTCTGTGCCGAGAGTAACAGTAAGATTTCTCAGATGAAAAAGTCTTGTGTTTTGGAGCAACTTGTGAAGAGAGTACTGGAGCTATATGTCAGCTCTAATGTGAGTATTTATAGAGATTTGCATACACCTTAGTGTATTTTTCTATACACATAGCACTTGCTCTGCACAAGCTTTGTAAGCTCTTTTCACGATCCCTCTCACCCCCGTGTTTGATATTCATGTTCCTTAGGGCATTTTGCACTAGTTTCCCCTCTGTAAAAGAACATCATGTGTTTGAGTCAAAATAGCTGACTCAGGCGAAAGAAATCTATTTTTTTCTCCTTTTTTAAAGAAAGGTACAATTGTAAGATATTTTTCCCGTTTTTCTTATTTATTTTGAATCTTCTTACTTCCAGGTTGAAGTAAATGCGTGCTTCATATTTTTGCGAAATTGAAATCTTCCCAATTTACAAGGTGATATGCTACTACAATGAGTGTATTCAGAAAATGTCATGTAAACAAATGACCTACCTGCGTGAGTTCATATATAAATCTGTAACTCAGGACATATTTCTTTAGAACATGCATTGGTGGCACAAGATAGCATTAATATCTAGAACATACAGCCCATACATCTTCATACAGGGCATGAATTTATGAACGATAAGTGGTCCTAACAAGTACCAACAGGAATCAAATCCACTTGTATAAACAAATGGCTTGATTCCATACAAAGCTTCCAGTACAACAAGTATTATTAACTTCCTTTGAGGCTTTGTGAGTGCGCCTGTTTCTTATTTTAACTTCAAGTTGCAATTTTCTGATTCACTCCTTGACAGTTCTTAATGATAATTTCTGCTTCTTTTTTTGGCTAATGAAAAAAGGAAAAGAGGGAAATGAATGCAGTGCCAGTCAGCCTAACTGTTTCATAATACATTTGAGTTTCTAAGTTTATTTTCTGCAGGTGTAGGTGGAATTGCAAAACCCAATGCTACAGTGCAGTACTCTTTCTACTGCAAAATATTATATTATATTATATTACAGCAGCAGTTAAAAAAAAAATAAAACTGTCTCCACTACTACACTGTAATAGTTTCTGTAGCTCCCACGGTATTTGTAATTAAGCTATGATAGTAACTATTTGTCAGACCAAGTTCAGAGCAGTATTATGACAGCTGTTAGTAGAGTTTAAATTGTTTCAGAAGCACGTACTGCATGTGAGTTGGTAGTCAAGGATTGTGTTGCCTGTGCAATCAAACCCCTGCATTCTTCTTCACTCACCCAATTTTCTCCAAGAGAATGTCTGCTTTTGCTTGTGTGAACCAAACTTTGTTCAGATCCAGAGTACAGGGAGCTGAAGAATGATCAGTTCACTTACAGAGAAAGGCACAGGGTTGAGGTGTTGGTTGGTTGGTTGGTTTGGGGTTCTTTTTTATTGTTTGTTTGTTTTAAAGTGTCTTGTCCATGATGAGTAATAGCAGGACTAGTAGGCAGTTTGTTGTAAGAAAGTTGCATCTACTGTGGTTTAGTGCAGACACAGTATTACTGCAGTGATGGTTACCATTGCTGTGATAATCTGCCGGAGATGACAGGAGGACTTTGTGCTGTGGATCAGGGCATTCTTCTCTATGCTTCTGAACCAGCAGATATCCAAGTAATGACATTCAGGCCTTTTAGTTCAGGTAGATATGTCTTATGGAAGGAAAAAAGAAGCTCAGTTTCTTGAGTAGTCTTGCATGTAAATGATGTTAATTTAAAAGTGAATTCTTCAGTCTACTGAAGAGCATTTGGGAGTAGTGGGTGGCAGCGTGGCTTGTATGGATTACTTCTTTCATGTAGAAATGACCAAGGGAATAAATTAAGGCAGGAGGGGAATTATTAGGCATTGTTTCTCTTAGCGAAAGTTTGCACCCTCTCCTTTTGCTGGGGTGCTTACATTCCCTTCCCGTTAGAGCTGGAATGCAGTGCCAGCCTTGCAAGTAGATCTCCTGCAGCGCTATCCCCGAGAGGACAGAACTGTGGACTTTCACCCTGGAATGGTTCCAGATGTTACGGCAGACAGTGCTCTTTGTTCAGAACATTTGTTGTGGTCAGAATGGTTTCTGTGTAACAATAAGAATGGTAAGAATAAGTTAAGAGCATGCGTAGTATGTTGCTAATGCTTGTGAGAGAACACAAAACACTGCCCAAGCCTCCTTTGTCTTACTATGGTAGGACATAGTCAGAAAATGTCAGTCGTTCTACTGGTTTGAATCTGGTGCATTTCCTGTTTGCCTCTTCTGTTGAGAGAAGATACTAAAAGCCAAATGAATGGTGGTGGGGACAGGTCGTAGAGTGGGTATTAATAGGTGGACTTTTTTGCTTCTTTGCTTGTTGCTGTTCTGCAATGCAAATGGTTCTGATGGGAGCACTTGGCATGTTCATAAGCAAATTGTTTGGTACTGAGAAAGTGATACAGCCACTAATCATGACCTGTGATGATCTTTGCAAAATGGAATGTAACTCAAGTCCTTTACATGACCTCTCCTCTAACTTGTGTCCTAGATTTCGCCGCCAGCTCTCTGAACCTTGCAATTCTTTCCCACCTTTGCCTGCAATGCCAAGGGAAGGACGTCCAATATATCAGCGCCAGATGTCTGAGCCGAACATCCCCTTCCCACCTCAAGGTTTTAAGCAGGAGTACCACGATCCAGTTTATGAACACAACGCTATGGTTGGCAGTGCAGCCAGTCAAAATTTTCCCCCTCCTCTGATGATTAAACAGGAACCTAGAGATTTTGCATATGATTCAGGTAGGTGAGACTCTCCTTTAGTTCTGCATAGTAAAGTAATGTATGAATCTAAGCCAGTGCTATTGATGTTTTGATCGTACAAATTGAAACTTGCTTTTTTGGCTTGTAAGTCTTCCAGAGTAAATTATGTCCGAGATAGCTTACACAATAGTATGATTGCTACATAGTAGTGTAACTTGTGCTGCCATTGCTTGCTCTGTAAAGGATTTCATTTTCCAGAACCCTCTGTCCAGAAAGCGCACAGTTTAAGAAAACCAGAGAAGTAAAAATCATGGGTGCAAAATTGAGTTTTGCTTAAGAGGGGGTATGTTCTGTATTCTCTCATCTGTGACCTCTGTATTTGTGTGCTCCATTTTTATGAGCTTTTTCATTTGTCTGCTAGAAATAGAGGACTCTTTCTCCTCTTGCTTGCACTACTTTAAATCAGGAGTAACTCCGCTGAAGTGGGGTTTATACAGCTATAAAACCAATGAGGGAGAAGAATCAGCCAAATTGGTGTCAGCTTCTCAGTTTGTGCATACTGCTGTGTTTTGTGGAGGTGCATAATCTGTGATGCCAGGTTGCTGATGTAGAGAATACGCTGTTGCTATTAATAATGTTTATTATGATTGTGGCAACTGGAATGGAGCCTTATTGCTCTATGGACAGTATAAAACAGGAGGCAGTGGCAGAGCCTGCTCTCAATAGCTTCTGGTCAAAATAGAAAAGATGAGCGATAGAAAGGATGAAAACATAAATCGAGGGAATAACATTGTAAATGTTTGCTGTAATTTAAACATAATATTGATATTATACTTGGGAAAAGAGAGAGAAGTAGGGAAGCAAAAAAGGAGTTTAGGAATGAGTACCAAGTAGCAAGGAGAAGGCGGCTGGAATGGTGTTTTGGAGAGAAGCTGAGATTATAACAGCATGGAGTGGGCTAGGTGGGGTAAACAGTTACTCAGTATGGAGTGAAGAAAATGCAATCAAAACACGTTTTTCAGTTTTAGTGTAAGTGATTTCTGCAGCCTCTGCTCAGTCTTTGCCTCTGTCCTGCTCTGTGTAAGCTACACTGTTGAAAGGGAGGGATTTCAGTGAGTTCTTATGGTGCTTCTGGAGGAGGGTACCTTGCTTTTGTACACTTGTATGCTGAGTTGGGCAGGGAGAATGGGTGGTCCTGTCTGACCTCAGTCTGACTCTTCTTCTGGGTGCTGCAGTACCTGCAGTGCTTTCCTGCTGGTTCAGTCTCTGCCTAGATGCTTTCACTGTTAATTTGACAAAAGCTACATGGTAGCTGAGTTGAGGTCTCCTTTGAAAGTTTAGCCCATGACAGACTATATTGCAATTTGATACAGTCTAGAACTGGCTTTTGTTGTCTTTTCTGTAGCTAACCTAACATTTTCTTTCTAGTGGGCTGTTTTGTGGTATCATTAATGTAAAGTGCTCATTTTAGAGTTGACTTCAATGTTAGAACGGGAATCTGGAAAGTAGAGCTGCTTTCTCCTTTCTTATTCTGGACAAGCAAGGAACCAATCTTTAAGTAATTTGAGTTAGGCCAACACCGGGAGGGGACTGGGGTATATTTCCAAGCTGAAATATAAGACAAGATGAAGATGAGTTCAGATTACAAGGATCAAATCTAAACCTCCACCCGTTTATTGATGAAGGTTCTGAGATACGTGTCTTTGGCAGTTGTGTATCTTTAGTCTTACAGAACAGCATGGGAGAGACTGCCTAGTTAATGTGGCAGTAGATAAATAGGGGACTGCAGCTTCAGGCACTGCCAGTCCCTTGCAACCTTCACAAGCGCTGTTATTCATCCTTCTAAATTAAAGGGTGAAAAAAAGCCCTTTGTAAGCATGCTTCATATTTTGCTAGGAAGTGGGATCTCCTTATTGCATGCTATTTCAAGTCTGGGTTGGCTGCTAGCATTTATTTTTCTTTGGAATATTCTTTATGGAAAAAAGCAGGAAATTTTATTCTAAAAGGAAGATGTGAAAACTTTTATCCAATCCTGTCATACCTTTCTATTTCCTTTTTTTTTTTCGTGCCAGCAAGATCAACATTCCACTTTATAGTAATGACGTTCAAGCAAAATTGTTGTTTCTTTTGTTGATGAATAATTAGGTTTTAAAAATGTAATAGCTGTGTAACCAGTGGTCATGAAAAATTAATCTGTTGGTATCAGGAAGTACTTTTATTGGCCTCAGAATCACTGCATTTAAGTTGACACATCTGTACACTCCATAAATTGCAGTCAACAACTGTGGTCTGTTGATATTTTGTCTTGTTACCATCTGTTCCCTAGAAACCATCATTTTCCATCCTTGCTAAGAGTATGTTAAATAACCCCTTAGGAAACATAATGTATTTGTCACTGAATCATTGATTTAATTTTTCACCTATGGATGTTCAGGGAAGGAGGAATGCCAGAGTGAAAAGTCTTTTTTTGTGTGATATTTTATTGCAGCTCAACTAAGAATATAGAAACGTATTTAAAAAGTTCATTGTAATACACCAAGATGTTCCTTTTGGGATGTTTCTGAAAGAGCCTCATAAAAGTTCATTGCTTTTGTGCACTATACTTTTATATTTTGTGGAAGCTGGTGAATGAAAAGCATTATTATGGGATGATTATAACTCTATTCAAACATGACATTAATTATGACATGGGAAATGGCAGATCAATTAGTTGTAATTGTAATTGCAGGTATGCAATTTCTATTGCAGAATGTTTGAGATAATGGAAAAAGAAAAATGTCAACAGAGTAGAAGCTTCTCCTTATATGTCCACACTTCTAGAAGTCACAGTGCATCATACATGTTCAATCAGACTTTATTTTCTGCCATGGATGTTTTTTCTTTCCCCAAAGGCTGCCAGTAGAATACATTTAGTACTTGATGCTGTATCTAGCAACTTTAAGCACAAAGATGCAGCCAGAGACATGCAGTGCTTTGAGATTTTGCATCATTAATGAGCATACTCCAGGAGGTTTCCCAGGATCTTTGTTCAGAAGGGCTAATAGTGGGCATTCTTGTATGGTTAGCATTTCTAAGAATTAAGTTCATGTATTCAGGTACTTCAACAAAAAGGCCAAACTTGAGATACTCCATCTATTCTGGGCTTTATTTTTATGCAGGTCCTTTTCAGGCTTGATCTTCCCTACTTAATGTAGTGCATTTGCAAATAGACTAAGATATGACTCTCAATATGCGTGTATCAATCAATATTAAAAATCTAGTTTTAAAATGACAAATTATTAAGTTTATATCTCAGGTTTATTTTTACCAATGGAAATAGTTATTTTAGTTGGAAAGTTCTTTAGTGACCATGTCTTCGGGAACTTCAAAATTTGTCAGACAGTGGTGTTAGAGATAAGTAGAGGAGGAATTTTTGCTTGCATATACTTATTACTGGTTGCCAGCAATCTTTCTGTTGAAATCTAGATTTCAACAGATAATGCCTCTGAACTCCATAGTCTTTTCTGAGCAGGTTAGAGGCATTAGTGGGGCTATTCTCACAGCTATATTTCAGGGTAGCGTCATAATTAATACTTTTGAGTGGATCTTAGAAAATTTAAGTTCTTTCCCTGTCAATTCCAAAGTTTACTTCCAAAATATTAGTTGCAACACGTAAAGAATTAACTATCCGAACAGAATTATTAGTGTCTTGCTTTCTGAGTTGCTCATCTCTTAAATTCCTGAGGCTTCACAAGCAATAAATACCTTGCGTTGGCATGTGAGAATGGATGGGGAACTGCCCCTCTGTTAAAAGAGATGAGCGGAGGCAGAAAGATACTTCAGAGATATATATACCTGTTTATTTTGGGTACCCAGTTAGGACCGGATAATTTCTGAAGAACATTATGTATTACATATGCTCAAAGCTCAGCTCCTAGGGACTTTATTTGAAGATTAGGGTCCCTGTGTAAACACTGCAAAAATAAGAAATATATAATAGGAAAAATCTTGCGGAAGCATCGTGACTACATTGGAAAACTTTGTTGGAGATGGAATGGGCTTTGTTGGGGCCTAAAATTGACCATTCAGCTGTATTAATCTTGAGGTCATCTTCTCCTTTCTTCAAGTGTTCTGCCTCATTAAGTACACAATGTCCAGCCTCTGTAACAAATGAAGCAGGGGCTCCACCTGCAAAGCTGTTTACGGCACGGGTTTCTCTCCCCCAAACACTTCTGACCTGTGCACTCAAGAGACAAGAGTGCCAAGGCAAAAGGCTGTATCATAATTAATTTGCAACAAAGAAGTTGTATCGAGGTTGCACAGGAAGTTGTAATAGTGTGTCCTGGGTTCAGCTACAGCAGTCATTTTTTCTCCTTCTTAGTAGCTGGTGCAGTGCTGTGTTTTTGACTTTCAGTCTTCTTAACCTCTCCTAAGTTTGCTTTTACAGGTAGAGGATGCCATCCATGTTAAAAATGTTTATTTACCTAATGACTGGGAAGAGAATAAAAAGCAAGACTCCTTTTAAATTCCTGATGTAGTGTTTTTTGAAAAGAAAATCAATGACAGTAATGTGGAAAAAGATCCGTAGTAGCACATTCTTCCCTAGAGATCAGCTCACTTGTCCTTAAATTTGTGAATTTTCAGTATGAGAGAATGTTTAAATTAAAATTTCAAGGGAAAAGATATTTCTTGGAAGTACATTTATTTGCAGATTGCCTTTTTTTCCCTTTCCTTTTTTAAACAACAATTTGATAGTCTATTGTACTTCTTGGAAGCAAAGTTTACATGTTTGAAGATGGTAGTATGAAGGAAAAAAAGGAGATCTTATCAGTCAGAATCAGTGGAGGTTTGCTTTTTCCAGGATATTCTCTAGTGCATTTACCAGTGCAGTATTTAGAGATACAACTCATGGTGCTTCTGTTACTGTCTTTAATTATACTAGCTAATTTTTACAGTGCTTTGAAAATGTGCTAAGTATTATTACTACAATTATTCCCCTGGAAGATTATTTCACAGACTAACAGACTTCACAGTTAAGAAATATTTCTTGATTGTAAGCC